TCTCCATCCTAGATCTCTCACAAGCCCTGGGAACTGCTGGCTAACACCCAGCCCCGAATCAGTTTTAACACAGCAACCAGTGATCCTTTAAAAATTTAAGTCAGAGCAGATCACTGCCAAAAAACCCTGCCGCGTCTCTCCGTTTCACTCGGTAAAAGTCAAAATCCCTTCAAAGGTCTAAAAGCTCTGGTAGCCCTCCACCGCACCCCCTTACCTCTCTGACCTCCATTTTTAATCCCTCCCTCTCTGGCCTCGGGGCCTTTTGTCTTCTCTCATTCTTCCTGCAGTGCTTCCCCCTAGAGATGCAGTTGGTTAACTCCATCACCTCCTTCAAGGCTTTGCTGAAATCCCACCACGTTTAGACCGACCCCATCACCCTGTTATACTACTGCCCCCCCCATGCCCCATCCTGCTCTCAATTTTTTCTGATCACATTGTACTGATTACATTCTGATATAATGCGTAGTTTACTGGTGTGTATGGTGTTTTTCCCCTTTCTAGAGTGTAAGCTCCATGATGACAGACCTTTGCTTTGTTTTGTTCACTAACATACCCGGAAAAATCTAGATTAGTACAACTCTGGCAATTTGAAGTGCAAACTTACGATGTCCTAATTGAAATCTCTCTCCTACTGAACCTGCTTTTCCTGTGAATGGTACTAACAGCTTCCAGGTGCGTAATTATAAAATCCAGATGTCATTCCAAACTCCTCCTTGCCCTGACTACATCCGTCCCTTGGAAGTCATTCATCAATTCTCTGGAGTCCAAGAAACAAACGTGTCTCATCTTAATCACTCCTCTCAGCTCCATCGTGGTTTAAACCCCATCTTCTCTCCTGAACTATGTTGAGGTCAATTTCCCCTATCTCTCCGTCCAGTCCCATGTGACAGCCTGAGTAATGTATCTCAAACATACACTTGATTATTTACTCTCTTGCCTACAGTCTTTCAGTTTTAAATTCCACAAAGGAAATGCCCTTCAAGATAAAAATCAAGGATTCTGGACTAGAATAAAAATTCTCTCATCTTTAGGGACTTAACATTTCCTTTGGATTTTAGCCTTCTGTCCAGTCAGTGGACTACTTTCAAACCCCAACCCAGTCCTGGAGCACTCCCCAGACAAGCCACAGTAGTTCACCCGCCAGGACCTGCCCGAGGAACTCACCTGCCCCAAACCCCCTTCGATCTTCACCTTCATTACAGCTCAGGTGGAATCCCCTTCTGCAGAAATCTTTTTGTGACGCTCCCTGGCCTCCCCTTTATCTGTCCTTTAGAGTCAACAAACATCCATTGAACACGGACAACGTGGCAGACACTGGAAATAACAAAGACAAGTAAGAGGAGGTTCCACCCCAAAGAGCTTCCAGTGCAGATGGAGACAGACGTGTTCCACGTGGTGGTGCTGCTGTTAGAGACACAGCTGAAGCCTAACCCAGCTCCCCGAGTCTTACCCAGGTGCCCAGCTGCGGACTGCGTGTACAAACGGACAACAGCCAGGCCGTACACGGTAACAGAATTCCGACCACAACCTCTGAAGCAATCAGGCTGGAATGATCAGGGCAGGATCAATCAATTCTCTATTTTTTGCCCCAGTTTCCAACTCAAGACCAACCGCAGAAGGCCAAATACTCTCCCGCAAACCAATCACGTAAGACACCCCACTTCTAGTTAGCCTGCTTCCAACGTCGCCTTGCCAGCCTCCCCACATCAGGGCACAGAGATGACTTCCCTTTTTTTTTTTCACTATGAAGCCTTCCCCGCTCCCTGCCTGGCTGAGTCTCTGCCACGTGCAGATGACAGGGCTGATACCCTGGCTCTCACAAGCCCTGAATCACGGGCCTCCCATGCTTGTTCTTAATTCGGTGGTCTGTTTCCACAAACTTCAGTATCTCAGTCACATTCAGTGGTTACTCATCCTCAACTTTCTGTATTTTAATTCTCTCTCTCTGACTCTTCCCCTCACCTTCTTGAACTTGTTGAATGGAAAAAAATGTACAACGTAAAAGCTGAGAATTATGTTTTATTTGCTGGACATTCTGAGGACTTCAAGCCCAGGAGACAGTCTCAGATCGCTCTGAGGGACTGCTCCAAAGAGATAAGGGAGAAGCCCAGGACATACAGGAGTTTTGAACAAAAACCAGGTAGTGGGAAGGTGAAAAGATTACTGCTAGAGAAAACCAGACACCTCAAGTTAATGAATTTAGCGCTTTTCTATGTACGGGAAGATGCGAAGGTCTGGGCTCACTGGAATCATTCCTTGATCTGCACCTTGGCTCTCTGGGGCCGGTATCCAGTGCTTTCCTGGCCTGAGTCTCCCCGGGACACCACTGAGGGCGGCTGCCGAGGCTGAGGGCTTGACGGTGGGCATCCTGCTTCATCCTGAGTTCCCGCAGGGCTCGTGGTGGGGTGGAGGGTGGCTGCAACATTCTTCGCTTACTGATGTGGCAGGCAACATTTTTCCTTCACAGCCTCAGGGTCAGGGACCGTGACTTAACAGGACTCTGGCAGAGTACTTACCACTTAAAAGTCTCTACTACTTTTTACTAAATATCAAGGCTTGAAACAGGGCCTGGACTGGAGCTTCAGAACAGAGATGAATTCTCTTGTCCTCCCCACCCTCCCAGGGCACCTTCCATGAGCTACTAAAACACTTCCAGCACTGTTGTGACTAGCCGACCTCTTCCAGTATTGAAGTTTTCTTATCTTGTTTGTCATTGTATTCCAAGGAGGTATTTAAGAACTATTCATTGAATGGCTGAGGCCACTCGGCAGCTAACATTAATTCCAAGTTTTTCCCAATGTCAGTTATCCTGAAACTCCAGCTCGTGAGATAAAGAAATCTTTCTCTGGAGAGAAAGCTGGACTCACCAGCCCTGTCTCCCATCCCTCACCTGCATTCTGGCAGGCAGCCTCTCCTTATGTCCTGCAGGCACAGGGACAAAGGGACTAATTCCCACTGCTCTGCTCCCCAACCCTGCAGGTTCTGAGCCACCATCACCTCCCGTCTCTCATTCGGTCCACCTCTGCTATCTCTTCCCTTCATCCCTGCAGAGCTAACTTTGAGACTTTCTGCTGAGAGCCTCCTGCAAGGATGAGCTAACTGTTTCTTGGAGCGGGGTGGGGAAGGCAGCTGTGCTTTCTCTCAGCCGTCCGCGTTTCCGCCTCCCCATTTCTTCCACGCGTAACCCAGTCAGTCCCCGCCGTTCTGATGTAGGTCTGAGGGCGCCAGCATCACCCTTGACACCTGGCCTGCCAGGCGCCACTGTCTTCCCCATTCTATGCCGCTGGCCTCAGAGAAACTGTAAGTCTGCTCCCGAGAGGACAGAGGAGGCAAGAGGATTATTCTTCCATGTTTTGCTCTATGAACTTTTGTATGGCTTGAATTTTTGATGTATTTTTTAAAATAATTTTTAAAATTTTAAATAATAAAATAAGGATTCTCCTTCACCTTCTTGGTCCTCTAACCACTCTGACCCTGACGACCTTCAACTGTGGGTTAGTCCAGCATCCCTCTTCCTTGTCTTTGATCCCGTTTCTGGAGATCGCTGGACGAAGTCTGAAAGGAAGCAACCACTCCGGATGGTCAGTGTGGCCCCAGAGCCTTCCCTTCAACCCTAAGGGGCGCTAAGTTTACCCCTCACAGCTGTTACAAACCTCCCATGCCTACTCCGCAACTGTGAAGGCCTCATCCCCAGCTGACTTTCTCTGGGTCGCTTTTCTTTCCTGTCCGAGCCCAACATCTCTAAGCACTGGCACTGGCGTCTCTCTCCCTCCTGATTTTCCCCTCCCCCGATCCCACACAAATCCTCACATCACATACGTCTGTCATCAGTAACTCCTCCCTGACCGCCTTTCTTAATTCCCTTCAAGGCCAGCCTTCCTGAAGGGCCACCCTCTCCCCCGGCTCCCATCCAGCCCTCAGCCCCTGCAGACTGGCTGCCACTCTGTACACACGGCTCTTGAAGGTCATCATGACCTCAGATTCCACCTGCTGCCAAACTCAAAGACCTCCTCTCGCTCTTACGGACCACTGGCTTCCCCTCGAAGTTCTTTTTCTTCCCATTACATCTGATCTCCTGGTGGCTTCTGCCTTCCCTTGCCACTAGAACGAGACCTTCTCCAAGGATCCCCTGATCGCCATCCTTCTCAGGCTGCATGACCACCCTTGTTAACCTTCTCACACTGACCATCAGCTCTGAGGAAAGTCCCCACGTCCACACCTCCAAGCCTGCACTTGTGGGGAGCCAGGCCTGCTTCCTGGCTGTGTTGTCCCCCAACTTAGGTGTAAGCACCAAGAGCCCAAGGCGCTGGGTCTGACCATCTCAGCTCCCCTGAATTTCCATCTCAGTCGGGGGTGCCTTCCTCCAGCTCCCGGTGCCAGGCCTGAGCCACCCTCAGCCCTGATCCCTCTCCCCAGTGTCCACATCCAGAGCCTGTCACCATGACAACCACCCATCTCTCCTCCCTTTCACGCTCACTGCTGTTTCTAGTTCCACTGCTTCTTTTCTCAGCAACTGCAACACCATTTTCCATTTTCTTTTCTACCCATTGAAATGGTGCCCACCTACACGCAGGCTGTGATGCCCTGCCCAGCCCACCCCTCCAGTCCCTGACGACGCTGAATTAAACGGTCCGTCTGGGTACTACCTTTGCCCCCAGCTAATGCCTGGCATAGGTGGCTTTCCCCACTGTCGATAACTCTCAGTGACTGATGACAGACGAGGGCACAGGAAAGCCACTGTCCTCAACTTCACTCACACAACTCGCTACCTTCCACGTGCCAGAGGCTGGGGCAACAGAAGTGAAACCCTCCCCTGCTTCAGCAGCCTTCCTGCCTGTGCCCGCACCTGGGGCAGGAAAGCAGGTGCGTGTTCACCCTTGTCCCTGCCCCACACCTTTTACGTGGATCCATCAGGCCAACCCAACAAGTCCCCGTGGCACCGTCGCAAAGAGTGACTTGTAGTGTAAGAACCTTGACTGCCAAATAAAGATGACAACACGAAGTAACAAAGAGCTTTATTTCGTGTCCCGGTTTCTTCTACATTTAGCTAGCCTGAGGGGGCATCTGTACAGCCCTTGATTCCTGCACATCACAGTCACAGATACATCACCGTGAGAGGAAACAGGCAGCTTTTCCCAAAGCGCACTGGGCACACCAGGCAGGGGGCCAGGTCCCTGGTCCCCCCACCTCCCGCCTCCTTCTCCTGGTGTCTCCATCCCACAGGGAAGGGTCCAGGCAGGAAGACCTCCTCTCATGTCACCCCCTCCTCATCCCTGGAGCCCCCTTGGGGAACAGGACGGAACCCCACCCCCCCCTTCCCGGTCCTCATGGGGAGGGCCTTAACACCAGCCGACGTTTCCAGCGCTGGGACAGCTATCTTCCACAGGCCCACATTTTCGTGGCCCCACTGTCGTTCCGGGTGGTCTTTCCCTTAACTGCTACTGTGATCTGTCTCACCTTCCACAATGGTAGAATTAGCTAGGAAGAATTAACCAGAACTAGAACAAAATCAAACTATGGCAGCTGCCTCAGATTTAACTCCTGTGAGATGAACACCAACAGTACGGCGTCCCTGAGCCACCCCCTCCAACTCCGGCACCCAGCCCCCACCCCTGCCTACATCCCCTTTCTCAGCACTTCGGCATCAGGGTCTCTCGAGGGCACGGCCCTGTGAAGAAGGGGCCTGAGCGCCTGGCTCGTCCGGGGACAACCTGGGCTGGCACTGGGGGCACCACCAGGTGAGCCTCTGGAGGCCCCCAGGGGGCCCCAGCGCCTCCTTCACGACCTGGTGCCCGGCGGGGCACTGCTGCTTCTGGTAGACCTGCGTGTGCTGCTGAGTGCCCTGGAATTTGCCCTGAAGCCAGGCTGCACTGAAGGCCAACACGTGATCCACGAGGGCCTCGAGGCGCGGAGGATCCAGGCGGGAACCAGGAGAGAGAGGGTGGATCCCAGCTCTGAACAGGACCTCGTTCTTAATGATGTTCCCTGGAAGACAGCAGGGAAGGGGCAAGGGACACGTCCATCAGGAGACCTGGTCCCCAAGGTGACAGAATAGACTGAAGCCGTCGGGTGGCAGCAGGGAGCATCGCAGGAGGACCCAGAGTGTCCCCGGGGCTCCCTGAGTCTGCCTTCCTGTCCGCAAAGGACGTGTGCTCACACTTACCTCTGGGGTTGTTGCGAAGATGACATTAGACAAAACTCACATGTGGCCCAGACCTGACTGCCTGGAGGCTCCCGGACCCCGGCCCAACCGGACCCTGGCCCAACCAGACCCCAGCTACCTGACTGGGCAGTCCTTGCCTTCTTTAGGCTTCTGTGTCCTGGCCTGTAAGATGGGGGGTGAGGTACCTGGGTCTCGTGGGCAGTACATGAGAATTCTCTCTCTCTCCTCTCTCTCTCTCTCTCTCTCTCTCTCTCACACACACACACACATGTTGAGCACGGTGCTGGTGTGCAGAGAGTACTCAAAAAACACCAGCTGATGTTATTATTATTATAAAACGTCAAGCACAACGTTTCACACGCAGCAGGCGTTCTGGAAGTACTGCTGTGTTATTTTTCTATTCCTCCCTTATTCGCTGTGAAGCCAAACTTGACCCCTCCTTCCAGATTCAGCACGTCTCTTCCAAATGTTCCAACTGTGTACTTTCTCTAACCTCTGCCAGCCGTTTATCACAGCCTCTCCAGGTCACAGCGACCGGAGTCCCTGCATGCTGGGTGGTTAATAATGTCCTCAAGGAGAGAAGTGGGCTTGGTGGAAGGCAGGCGCTCAGCACGCCAGGAGCGGAGGGCTGGGTGAAAAGACTGCCGGTTCCAAGACTTCATGATCGCACAAAATTTCTCTCCAAAGTTCACTGGCGACTACCTGAATGTCACTTATTATGCTCAGCTGTACTCTTAACGTGTCCTTGGCTCTCCTTTCTTCTGAATGAATGAAGGGAAAACGAACAAGTAACCATCCCATGGAACAGCACTAAGGATGAAACCACGGGCTTGGCACGTCGGGGTCAGTGGAAAAACGATGGCTGTTAACGATTATCATTAGTAAGAAGAGCTAGCAGAGCATTAGCTTACAGACCCCAAAGACTGCTTCTGGGAGCCTCTGCCCGCTGGGTGCAGGGACCGGATGGTCCCACCACGTGCAAGGCCGCCGTCTGCTGAGCGCCCGTGAGCTGAGCTGTGAAGCCAATGTGCCCCCTGGACATGGAGGCGGTGGTCGTCACCGCTCCCCCGGCCGCCCGTGCCCCTGTCCTGGGCGCCAGGAACGTCACCCTCTCGGAGCCCCGCTAACGAGCCGCCCTGGTGCACGGAGCGCTCAGCTCTTGTCCCGACCTCGGAGCGCTGCCAGGCCCACCGCTTGGGACACTTGTGCAGAGGACGCTGGGCCGCTGCGCCCGTGCCTGGTGAGAGCCGGCGCGGACCCGGGGGCCGGGCTCTGACCTGCAGGCAGCAGTGTCCACCTGGGTGGCCCGGGAGCAAGGCACGCCACGAAACAAGATTGCTCAGCAGATAAAAAAAACACTCGGGGCGTGTCGTGCCAGGCAGGGAGCTTGGAGGATGGAGGGGATGTGACCCCAGCCC